ATTACCATACAATATTAATAACATAAAATGTGTGATATGATCTGCATATGAAATTTGCAATAATGCTGGCCGATGCCGAGGAAAAAAAATATTCGTGCGGTGGAAGGTATTAAAAATTCATTGCCTCATAATTCCGCATTACGCGGGATTAAAATTCGTTTTTTGTCACGCTCGGTATCGCGATATGGAGCAGCCATAAAGCACATACAGAAAACTATGTCGCGCCGCTCGTTGCAAAAGGTAATGACATTTTTATTGCGTTTCGCGGCAAACAGTTTCCGCGGATGTTGCAATACCGGCCGCTCGATTTACGCGCTATTAGCTCAAGTTCGATATCGCGCACTCGATATTTCGTCGGTGGATTTGTGAATTCGGACATTTCCCTTTCTTTTTCTTGCTGCTCCCATCCCTTACGGATAAATGTTCTTTTTTCCGCAGAAAGTCTTTCGCGCGATATAATTGTAATATTGTTTTCCGTAAAATCTTGAATTCTGATTTCGACGGTGCAACGGGACACTCGTATCCTCGAGCTCGACTCTCGTCCGGCGGCCTCATAACTCAATAATCTCCGAGCAAACGCGGCTTCGTCATTAGTTATCTCGCTGGAAATCCGGGCTTAAAACTGTCGAGAGGTCGCAGCGATATCGCGGCCGATAACCGCGCGCCGTGCAAATACACTCCAAACGCGAAGCTGGCGGCACGAACGGCACGAACCCAACCGAAGTCACGGCCCTTCGTATTTCGATTAAATGTGATTTACCTACGAGCGTATATCGCGCGCCGCGAAATTAATACGTCCGGCGCGCGATCGGATTTTGTGCCGGCGGCGTTAAAAATTGAGTTTCCATTGCGTGCGGCAATCGACGATTGCGCACGTTTGGAAAGGTAACTCGGCGCGTTTGGCCGGTCGGCTCGATCGATTGTTTCACTACACGCCTGCAATGCATACTGCAAGCATAGTAATTTAACCGGCTTACCAATTTTAATTTTAATTACTAGTTAATTACTGCCAGTTTAATTACTGTAGTCATTTATTATAACTATCAGCCATATAAACAAGGCTATTATTAGATATTGATTTCAAAATTTTATATTTAGAGAAAATACATTTATAAATTTTATTTTTTATTTTCAGAAAATTTCTAAATTGTCAAAGTCGTTTTTCAAATAACAGCTCTTTAGAAGAAAATCATGTTATGCAATTTATAAATCTAACAAAATAAATAATTGCCGATAAGAAATTGTTTTACAAATTAACTTTGTAGATTACGCTCATAAAACAAAATAATGATAAATATTTGTCATCTGACGGTTAACGTCAGGTCATTACACGCTGAAAAAAATATTAGTTCGTAACTTGAAGCGTATCTTGAGTCCTTTGAAGGAAATTTCCTGTGCAGAGACGCGGCCCTTCGCTCGCCGTCTACAAATACGACGTCTTTAACAACACTCTCGAGGGTAGTAAACGGAAGCGCGAATATTCAGTCGAGGCGAAAAGAAAGACAAGCATAGACAACATAAACGGAGATGCGTACTAAGCAAGCGAGCAAGATAAATCCAAATGAGAGATTGCGTTATATAGTTGTATCAGATATTTTTTTATTTTGTTAGATTATGAGCAATTAAATAAACACCGACTAAAAGTATATCAAAGTAGTTCAATTAAAATGAAAATAAAATAGAAATTCATTACATATAAATTTTTCAATTATAACAAGATTTCCAATGCAAAAAAATTAATATTAAAATTAAGATCAAAATTTCGCTTTTGTGTAATAAAATAAAATAAATGAAATAAAATTATTATGGCTATCAATGAGCGACGTTTTCGTTTATATTTGGAGAATATTTTTCTCTAACCAGGTGCGAACCGCACGAACCAAAGAAAGAAGTTAATGAGGGAAGCGAGCAGACAAATTGGTTATCTATCGGCCGCAGGAACATCGGTTTTTTTCCTCTCCTTCGCCATCGCACTGTTCGTAATGGAGGCCATTAAACGCACCACGCCAGCAACACGTGCTGCATCTCCAAGATTTTTCATCATGAGACGCCGAGTCAATATGACGACGCCTATGTACGAACGTCGAAAGCTCAACGAAATGAAAAGCTCCAGGTAGTTATGGAAGCCCATTAAAATGTAATTGCGCTCTTACATAAATTTAAGATTATTTTTAGTTTAATATTAATTTCTTTTAATGCGATATTCATCGCTGTATGTTAAGTATTTCTCGCGTAATTGGTTAATTGCGAATATATTATAAATATTACGAATAGATATATTATCTGATCCATTTCTCCTCCTTCGCCCTCGGGTAATTGCCCGTAATCGACAATGAATCATATCAAATTACTCTGCAAAATAGCTTTTAATTCATGAGTTTCGCGTTTCCTAGATAATGAGTTTCACGTTACTTTTGCCTTGCAACTCACGAGAGGATTTATTCGCGAAACAACGACGGGGTGTGGCGGAGGTAGTCTCATCGATCGCAAAACCGTAGAGTGCACGGCCGAAAACATTGGGAATGCGTTTCGCGAACCCGGAAACTATTCACATTCGGAATAACAGCGATTTATATCGACTGAATCTCTTTGTCTGTAACGATAGCGATTCACTGAGCAGCGCGACCCTTTTCTACGATTGAACGGATTTATTTTTCGGAAGTGGTCTGTAAAAATTACTCTGTCGTTTTTCGGGGCCATGCTCAATCAAAAAATAAATATATCCAAATTTAATGGTAACTCGAAGGAAATTTAGATCCATACGTACACATACGACTACAAATTACTACAAAATAAAATTATTTTTACAGTCACTCAGGCAACTTTAACGTTTTTTATAACTACTAAATTTCACGGTAATTGGACTTTTATAGTTCTCAAATGTTCGAGATATCTGGCGAATTCAAAATAACCTCAACCTCGCTGCATCATTTCGGCGAAATAAATGCATCCTGCTGAGTCATTGGCTAGATTGTCGGCGTGCTTTGCGCCAATTTCCTTTTTATCCTTGAATACTCGACAATCGATGCGCGCTCGCGTCGCAGTAATTATGCACTCGGCAGTAACGACAGGCCGCCCCGTGTTGAGCAGTAATTCGCGTTGATGTAACGGCCGAATAAATTCGAATAAAGTTCTGGCCGCCGTTCAAAAATAGACACTGATTTATGCGCCGAACGGCATATTATTACGCGAGACATAGCGGGCCGCTGCTACGCGTACGAGACAATTTCACGTCGGTGCCAATTCGCAGTCCGCCAGCGTGTAGTCGCTCTTAAAACCTGTGATCGATCGCGCGTTGCGAGTGCAGCGTTCAGATAAAAAATTATTTCCTCTTTACGCAAGAATTGCACGCGAAATATCGCATTCTGTAACCTCAGCTACTTTATTTCCTCCAGAAATGTATTGATGTGTGTATACAAAAATGCTAATGTTTATCACGTATATTTGCGGAATAATTTATACGCTTTTGTTACGGCTTTTCCTCACATCTCATTGTTATATTTCATTGTCTCTCGCCGTACACCATGTGCCAAAGAACTTGGCAACACGATGTACCTCAAAGCATCACGGTGTATTTCTCTCAGATAAGATCAACGATGTGATTTATCGCGAGGCGACCACTCATGGGTTAATAACGTCGTCTGCGACGAAGACGGACTCGCAGTCACGGTTATGAACGTGTCACGCTCTCGAAAAATCTCGAAGAATTCGCCACCGTCACCCGACTTCCATATAACTGTGATTTACATTTCGCTTAACGAAGATCGATGCGAACCAAGAACGAGGAACATATTCATTCATGTCGTTTAGCACAATTCAGACGTGAAATAAGTTAATTCTTATATAAAGGGTGTCTCACATTGAGCACACCATACGGTAATGACACATTCATGACATTATTTCGAGATGAAAGTCTTAATATCAAAATGTCGAGATTATAATAGTTTTCAAATGTGAAGCATTTATAGGTTTTAAATAGAAAGCAATCAAGTTGTTCCAAATTCGCGCGCTCAGACATGATACATCGCGTGGAAATGAGGGTACCTTCACATATCAATTTGTTTTTAAATACAGATACAACTTTACATACAATAAAAAAATAAAAACAGATCAATATCTGAAGATATCTTCATTATTGTGCGATATACCATATCTGAGCGTGCAAATTTAGAACGACTTGATTGATCAACTTTTAATGCTTGCTATTTAATAATTATTATAGCCTCAACATTTTGATATTAGATTTTCATGTCAAAATAATCTCAGGAATGTGCCATTATCATATGATGTACTCGATACGGGACACCCTGTACATACCTAGTAAGAATATAAATTAATAATTCCGCGAAATAAATTAATTATATAAAATGTTCCCAAATTAAAAGTTGCCAACTAAAAAAGGCAATTTTTCATTTCAAAACGTGCAAAGGAGGCCCGGTAAATGTGGAGTTGAGAATACGTCGTATATAACAATTATGGCCTAATTTATTTAATTTAAAATAAAGTAAATAAGTCAAAATTAATTATTAAGGGAAAAAATTAAAGCTTAATTTAGTTTTCCAAAAAAAATATTCTGGATTATAGAAATTATATAGATCCAAGTTTCAGATATATTGCCATTTGTTCTCAGTTTTGTAACAACTTTGTCTGTTGTAATTAATATTTCATCGTAATAACGAGAAATACCGAAATAATCGCATCAACGGATAAATGTAACAAACTTTACTTTACAAGCTCTATGTACGTATCTTTTCATACATACATAATAAAGATGAATAATTACATATATTTTAGAATTAAATATTCGCATTGATCTACCTGTAACCCATCCATTATAAAGCAATGGATTTATACAATCTTGTAGCTATTTATATGATATTCTTACATATTTTTTAACTGTTTTAATCTTGTTTAAAGTCGGCAGTACATATGGCATCTAATATAATGTTCGCAAATCCGTTGTACCTTATTATTAAATAATAAAAATAATTAAAACTTACCGGCACACGATGCGCAACAGCGGAGTTGGAAACTACGTTGATCTGTAAAATACAAATATATCATGATTACAGCAATGGCCAAAATAATTAAAATTTTTTAAAATAATTATTACATATTGAATTCTTTACTGATACATTTGATAGAAGAATTACAAGATCACTAAAAAAAAAATTTTTACATAGATATTTGAAATAATTGTAAATATTAAATATGTTGAAAAATAGTTGCGTCGCAGGGATACGCAATTAATTATTTTATAAATAATAAGTAGTAAATAGATTACTCACCTTAAGGTTATTCCGCCGATGCCCGATGCCCCCTGGGCCTCCTCCTCCTCTCAGCGGTCCATTGATGGTTGCTTTTCCATGGCACAATACGACGCAATTTACGATAGCGCGATATTTTGTACGGCACTAACCGTTTTACCGACACGGACTTTATCATATTAAGACAAAGGAAAAACTCGAGACGTACGAAATCGCAAGGATCCGTTCGACATTCGCCGCGTTCGGAGCAGACAACAAAATGGCAAAGGGAAATCGTGCGGAAAATTGCACGGTTAATTTTGTGTTCCATTTATTGTGGATATGGTAAATCTAAAGTATTTTTGTAAGCTTTTCGTGCTTTTCGAATATAAAAAATAAGATACATCTACGTTTCGGAGCGGCTAAAGTGTTTTATAATCTCATACTAAATGAATAAAATGTACACGTTATAATAAGACGTATATTCATGCGGAATAAAATATCTAAGTAACTTATTACGCGTGCTAATGAATCATACGTACAGTAAATCGACAATTATTTGCAGAAAATGATTTAAGAAGCTGATAATATAAAACGCGCGAGCGGATTTCTACTGCCGTCTACTCTCTTCGAGTGCCGCCTTGCGTATGGTAAGGTAATAGCGCTCAGAAGATGGCAGGACAAATACCGCGCACGCGATGTGTACGCCGTGTAGAGAGAGAGAGAGAGAGAGAGAGAGTTAAACGAAAAATAGTAAACACCGACGTACGTAAGCTAGTACCGAACATATTTCGCGGAACTGTGATATTTTGATGACGTCACGGCCTATATATAAGATTGTTGACGCGTTACCAAACGTTCCGTGTCGTTATTACACTTAAAATCACGAAGTATCGCGCGATCGTAATAAATCTTGGTTTCACAAGTATTGCGTTGTGCCATGAAGCAACCATCGATGGACCATTAAGAGAAGAAATAGGTCCAGGAGGCATCGGACGCCAGAGGAATAACTTTAAGTAATTGACCATTTATTTAAAATTAACAATTTTAGAGATATACTAATTATTTATCCCCGCAACGCAAATATTATCAATATATTTAATATTTATAATTATTTCCAATATTTATATGAAAATTGTACTTTTTTCAGTATAATTATGTACTCCTTCTATCAAATATCTACTTGAGTAAAAAAGTCAATACGTTTAATAATTATTTTTTTTTATATTTTAATTATTTTTACTATTGCTATATAATTATAATATATTTTTATTTTATAGATTAACGTAGTCTCCAATTCCGCTGTTGCGCATCGTGTGCCGATGAGTTTCAGTTATCTTTATCTTATTTAATAATAAAACAACAACGGATCTGTGAACATTATATTAGATATACTACATACTGTCATCTTAAAAACATTAAAATAATAAATTGAAGAGTATGCAAAAATATCATATAATAGATACGAAATTTCATAGATCCATTGCCTTAAAATGGGTGGACTACGACAAATTAATGCAAATATTTAACCATTACATGGAATATGTATTTATATTTATTGTATATTTGTAGAATATATTTGTATTTATTGTACATATGCGCGCATTTGTAAAAATGCATGCACAAAGCTTAAAGCTCGTTACATCTATCCATCGATAGATTATTATTTCAGTATCTTGTTATGTGGAATATTAATTAAATACTAAATTAACCAGATTAAAAGATTTTTATCAGATTTATTATAATTATTCCTGTCGCTATCTTGTTATTATAATAAAATATTAAAAATACAGCTAACCAAGCTATACCAAGTCGCTAAAATTTTATAGGACAAGCATAATTTAAAAATAAATAGCAAATATTTTACGCAGTATATTTCGTAGATAAAATAAAATAACAAAATTTATGCGTTTATTACCACACGCGCGTGACCCATCAGTTACATTAAAAAGAAACCTGCCAGTTTTATAGTTGAAAAAGTACATTGTATTATATTACACAATTGACACAATTGACTTCATATCAGAACCATATTTCCAATCCATAATTTATTATTACTGTATAATCTCAATTGTAAAATGTATGCAGATAGTGGTACTAGACAGAGAAGTCGATAAGCATTCCATGAAAAATATTAGAATAGCCGCTCGCAGCCTTCTTTCTGATGTCTACCATTTATGGTCACGCAAATCGTGCTCGTCGAGAAAGCATAGAGCCATTAACGAGAGAAACACGTTAAAACGGACCGTTTACGCACCAATACAAAACAGAGAAAACATGACAGAGCGATACGCGCCGTAAACATACGCAACGAATGCGCGCCGTGCACAAATGCGGCCGTGGAAACGTGATACATCGAATCATGCGTGGGCGAAATAGCGAAATCCTCACGCGCTCTATCGTCTCCGTTTCTTTCTCAGCGCACCTGCTTTTACTCCCGCGCGCGCGGTGGGAGCCTTTCCGTCATCCTTATAATCCTAATCGAATCCAAACGCCCGTCGCAGCCGACTGAAATTTGCAATTCACCGCTGATCTCTCGGTTCAGAGACCGCGACTGCAGTCCGAATGACAATTCGAGCGCGACCGGATACACGGTTCGTCCATGCCGCGGTAGGCAGCTCGGGCCTCGAGGACGAAGGACGCGCGGCGTCGGGTCGCTGCGCGATGCAAATCGCTGATTACAAATTAAAATCGGCCTCCGGCTCGAACTCGAAGGCGACGCAAGTGGAGCGAAGGGGGTGCCTATTTCATTTTAGAAAATTTAAATTCAAATCCGGCAAAATGCACAGAATGCCACGTCCGACGCGCCGTTATACATACATACATACATACATACATACATGCATATATATATATATATATATATATATATACACAACTCATATATAATTATATAGACGGGTTACGTACATAGATTCGGTGGCGTGTCGCTGGCAGTGTTGCGGCGCACGACTGCGGAAAAAATCATAAAATACGCGGAATGCAAAATGCAAATGCCGCGCGATGTTCATGAAAATGGGCAAAAAGAAAGAAAACGTGCACGAGATGTATATCCTGCGCAAAACGCGCGATGTGTCGCATCAAAGATTCGTGGCCGCGGTTGTTCTCTAGTTATATCCCTTCTTTCTATTACTTGTTATTTTTGTTTCTACGCTAATAATAAACGCACGCCCGCGCGCGTCTATGTAAGCGATTATGCGATTAGATTATACGTGCGTCCGATAACCGGATCTAGATTTCATTAGCATGAAGAGTTCCTTCCCTGCATACCGATGCGGATTCTGTCGTTTGCAGGTTAATGCGACCACAAGGGCTAAACGACGAACCATGCGACGTATTTTTCCACCGAAAAAAATAATGCAAAAATATACTCGAATGTGAAATGCGCCTCGATCTAATTGCTTAATTAACAACACATCACTAGAGAACAAAGTAACGACGCGTACCCTTTCGTATCAAAATTATCACAATGCAACTTCGTCAAAATCACAATGTTGCAATTCTGCCAAAGTTTATATCGTCCTAATTTTGTGCGAATTATAACGTTGTAACTTTGCAGCCGAAGCTATATATCATGCCTCCTCAGAGTTAAATGCAGCTTTTGTCGAAATAACATGGTTGTAATTTTAACACGAACGAAATTCCGTGCCTCCGGGACGCCGTAAGTCTGTCAAAATTACAACACTAACAACAAGAGCCAAGTTCCGCAATCCTATATTACGACGTGCTCGCGGAGACAAGCGCTTCCATCATCGGATGCATCATCCGGATCGGTATGACGTGTTTTCGCAGGAACGCGGCATTGTTCCGAGGAATTTGAAACACGCGACGGCCCTGTAGTTGCAGTCGCGGCGAGTGGAAAGTGACTTATCGTGTCGGGCGATCGTGAAAACGCCGTGCGGAAGTACGTAACGCGCGGAACGTACGGCCGGTACCGAGCACATCGGCCAGATCCGAGGTCTAATGGAGCTTCCGCGTTGGAATCGCGCCGCGGCTGACATAGCACGTGACAGCCGGCGTCATTTAAAGCGTTTCGCCGTGTCGCGTTTAAATTCGACGAGGCGTGTACGATGAGACATTACATTAATTTGTACGCTGATTGCCTTTGCTAAATGATAATCGCAACAGTATTGATCTTTATCAGAATTTAACGTTGAAAAATTATTTTGTTGTAGTATTCTTTACGCTCAGTTCGAAAATTCTGTGAATATCTTTCTATATATATATATATATAAACCTGACCAAAATTTTAAATACAAAAAAATATTTTTAATTTAGAATAATAACTTCATTATTATATATGTATAAATAACATTATTATTAAATTATCGATGCGTTGACTTCGAAGACCGGTTATAAACGGAAGAGAATCAAGAGCGCGAACTTGTTTAATAACTCATTTATTTATTGCAATTATTCGCGAGGAGCCAGCTAAACCATAATGCGGTTTTCGCATTAAAATCGCTCCCGAGCCGGCATAATACGTGACAGCGTGGTAGTAAAACATTTCGTGGTATCGCGTTTAAGCTCGGCGAGGCGCGACGCGCTACGTAATTTCGCACTAATTCGCGGCTACACCGCGATAGGAATAATTTTATCGGATGCAACTACGTACTAGCCGGAAGAGATAACGTCTATGAATTAGTAATATCATTAAGCATCAACAACTTGAAATATATAACTCGAGCTACTTTGTTGATATATAACTAAGGCTGATGCTAATGCTTTTTTTATGAAGAATTTTCTAATTAATTGTTAAAAAATGATTTGCTATTAATAGTTAAAAAAATATTTGA